ACAAGCTATATATTGCCAGATAATTTTCTCTTAAATAAAGATTGTCTGTGGAGACTTAAACATAATTACGACAATATCTCCTGATATCACCAAGTTATTTTATTTTTCCTTAACAGTGTTGGAATGCCTATATCCAGGACTGGATATAGGCCTTACAAAGCCTCTGGGCTAATAAAATTTGAAGACCTTTCATTACATATATTTTCCACCTTACCCCATGTCTATATAAAAAAACAAAAAAACAATATATTTTTAGATGATGCCATTTTTGGTGTAAAATACAAAGCACTTCAACTAAAATTAAAGAAACATAAAAAAACGTCTTCTTTACTTTTTTTAAAATTTTATCATGGGCCCAAGACTTGAGGCCACTTCTAGTCATGGGGCCACTGGGCCAATATGTAAATCCGACATTGCTGATACCACTTCTGTTCTATCTGGAAGCTTCTTTATACATTTCCTTTTTTCTGATGTAGATAGGCTAACTTTAGCCAAGTGGCAATAAAACCTTGATATCGTATTTCGATAGGAAATTTATTTATAATCCAGTCATGCCATTTGCATACTACTTTTTTTTATATATTTCCAGCATCCATTTAAGAGATCAGTAGACATTTTCCTTAAAAGAACCAGTTTTTGAGCAGTGTAAAGCACATTTTGAAATATTCATCAACCTGTAGACTGTGATTAGTGAGCCAAGTTCAAACCCTAGCTGTTTCAATAAATTTACCCTTATGCCTTTGGAAAAGGCATGAAACCATTTTCAGCACTTCTGAGTGAAAATGGTCTGTGCATGAAAAATAAGGATGAAAATGATTTTTTACAATGAGTTTTTGTTGATTTGCATTCACCAAATCTTTGAAAGCAAAATGGTAGCACCAATGGAAAATTGCCATCGGCAGCTTTAAAGTCATTTATTTCCATCCATACCATATATTTGAAACTTTAGTTTAGTTTGGGCCAAAAATGATGTTCATCAGAATCAAAGAATTTTTATTTTAATCCTTTCTCAGCAACATGATATTGCTTCGCTCTATATTTCTACAAATATTTTTATGACAACTGCTCTGGCGAGCTTTTGACCCTGATTCCCTGAATTTAAGTGTGTTACTAGATTGGCATCTAGGTCTTTTACTTTTGAAATAGTTAAATGTAACTGCCTATTTCAAACGTTTCTTCTCTTAAACTTCCCACCTGTGGAACTCCCTTCAACTTAGTTGCTTCCCTCATAACTACAATCTTCAAAAATTTAAATGCAATGTCAGTCACCATCTTCTATCTTCTTAAATCCCATTCATTTTTTATCCTTTCCTTAATCCCAACTATACCCAGTCTTTTCTCTCACTTTCACTTGCTGTAACCCCTTGTGTACTTATGGCATTTCCACCTTGCTTGGGGTGAAATGATTAAAAAAAAAAAAATTTAGATGAAGTTTGTTTACCTAATATAAATATAGTGCCAAATCGATTCCTGAATTATTTTTAACGAGCTTATTGGGCAGAGGGCTCTTTATTGGGCCCTCATCACAATAGGTAGGGAGGAGTAGATGCGATAGGCAGCAATAAACTACAGAAGAGCTCAAAATTGATGTTTATATGGACATTTTACCTTGTTTTAGTGTCAGGAACCTGCCCCCAAAGATTGTAAAAGTATTTTTGATATACCCTGTATATAAACAGATATATATGTATTTAAGTACTGCATTAATATCTAAGTTCGCCTTTTAAAAGTTCAACAATAATTCTTCTGCCACCACTTAATTTAAAGACAATTTGATGTGAGTAGGTCCTTACTTTCCATACAAACAATTGTTTTTATTTCATGGGTGACTTTCACTGGATTTCATAATTAATTTTGATTATTATTCCCAAATTTATTTCCAAGTTATAAAAATCGTTATTGTACAAAAAAATTTGTCAAAAAAAATCATTTAAAAAAATTGCTGTAATGAAAACTTGGGAATCCAAAATTTCAGGATTGCAGAGCCAGATACAGCCTGAAATGTTTTTTTTATTTACTCACAGAGTCAGGCTGATTCCAAAATGGTATGATATGTTGAGCTAGGGCCTCTAGGAGTAAAGTTGAAAAAGTGTGACATACTGACATTCACATTTATTATATAGAAGAGTTACCTTTACGTTGTTTTTATTTACAAATATCAAATTTGATAAGTATATACTACTGACATTTTCATTTTTTCCAAATATGGACTTTTATCCTTTTTTTTAAATGAATTTATGAGAAACAGATTAATGTATTTTTCTTGTTGGTTTTTGCTACAAAGGCACTTGCATAAATTTAAAGAGATAATAACTATTCATTTTAAATGTTGAAATGTACCCTACATACTTACTTGTATAACTTATATATAATTTACACAATTGCTTGTTTTTAATGTTTTCAAAAATAAAATCACATACAAATGCATATATCCTTCTGTTCTTTATAGAAGATAAATCTGTTTCACAAAAATTTAAAAAAATGTAGAAATGCATGCATAGCATACATTTGCCTATGTTACTACACTACAGTTCAAAAGTTTGAAGCCCCCCCCCAAATTAGCATGGGATGAACTTAATAGAAGAGTGATACCTTTCCATCCAAAGACTGAAAAGGAGCTCTTAGAGTCATTGAAAAAAGAATGGAATTAAATATCAAACTTGTACTTTGAGAAGCTTTTGTCATGAATGCCAAAAATTTGTGCTGCAGTAATCAATTATAAAGGCAGATATTTTGATAAGAACAAAATTTAATCATAAAATGTTTTTATTTTTATTTTTTTTATAATAAAATTTCTAATAAAAAAAAAATCACTTTTTTTTAACCATGTATAATAATTTTCTCTTCATTAAATGACAAAACAACTACTTTTGAACCAATTTAAAAAATTACCAGTGGTGACCTCAAACTTTTAAACTGTAATATGTGTGTGTGTGATAAAAATATAGTTTCATGCTCAAATTTAATCATCACCTGCTTAACTGACGATAGTGCTTACCATTAACTCATGAGATAAAAAGGATGCTTACAACTACAACTAATGATGCCGCCTAAAATAACTACTTTAGCCATAAGAATAATGTTATCTTATAATGAACAGTTTGACTTTCTATTGTATGTCCCTTTACCTATCTGTTATATTAAAGCAAACAGATATATAAAATTAAAAAATAAATCCAACCCTGATTTGAATGTCTAACCAAGAGGTAATCAAGAAAGTGACCAATCCATTACACTGATGCTTGGCTGCTTAAACATTAATTTGAAAATAGATAATATACTGATCCTTAGATTATGAAGATATCAGTTTGATCTTACACTATGTACATGGGCAGTTTGATCTGAGGAAGAAGAGTTGATTCAAATATAAAAGTTCCATCAATTTTAACAGGTTGATCATTAATTGTGACCTTCAGGAATTAAGTTTGTTGTTTGGATCTCAAAATCCTGAATCCAAACCTGATTGAATTGTTAAGATTGAAACATCTGAAAGCAGTTTTCAAATATCTAATGTTTTTGTAGAAAAGAGTTTAACAGTAAAAGAAATTGACCTTTGTTTTCCCTGCCTGAATCACTGAAATGTTAATCTGATGAAAATTGGTCGACTTTATTTCAGAAGTTATCTTAGTCATTATTTACACTATTTGCATTCAGATTAATGTCCCCGTCTTTGTTGTTATCACAACATTTCAGCCAGCATGCCTTCCTGCTTTCATTAGGTGCTTATCAATCTGGATAACCTTCAGGAAATTATGAACTGAATACTTTACTTATTCTATAAGGGTAGATTGTTCTCATTCCACTAACCACATATATATATATATATATGTATATATATATATATAATTTATATATTATATATACGTGGTACTTATTGGAAAGCACTCAATATCAGTGATAGAACTAACATATATAGTTGGATTGATGTGAGTTTGTGACCCTGGGTTTCATGCCCTTGTGATTGTCAGACACTTTGTCTGATGATTGCAAGGGCATGAAACCCAGGGTCAAAAACTCACATCAATCCAACTATATATATATAAAATTCTCAAATGTTAGATGTTTGGGAAATCTATTGAAATTATTATCAGATTTCATATTTAATTTGGAATTCTTATTACATTAGAGTTTTGTTTAAAACATATAAACATTCAAATTTAGAACCAGCAAAAATGTAATACTTTTTTTCACTCTATTTAATATAATTATACACATGTGCACATACAAACTTATACATATAAAAAAATCTCAAGAACATGTATACTTGCAAATATCGCAACAATCACATAATTCATAATATTCAAACTTAATTACACATTAAATTTATTTTATATTATTGACCTTCAACAAATATCAAACACATTTTAGATTTTATATATATATATATATATGATCTAGATAAAGAGATATGATCAACTATATATATGAGCAATTCTGTACATATATGGATGAGCAAATAACTATTTATTTAATCAATGGTGTAGACAAAACAGTGCTTAATACTATAAAGTATATATTAATAATTACACATATACCTATGTAGATATATGTGTAATTATTAATATATATATTTTTTTATTTCAAATGTTATTATAGTGGACACTGGTATTTGAAAGAGTTGCGCCATTTTTATTTTAAACCGTATATATTACATCTATCAGCCTGAGCATTCAAGAAATCTTAATAAAGAAAATGTGTCCTCTGGTTGGTATCAACTCTGCATCCCCCTTTATAGGGGAAACTACCATTTGATCCAGCCTGCTTTACCAACTCAGGCTCTATTAATTCTTTTTAAGGAAAGCACATCTTCACTGTGATTATTTTTTTTTCAAAATCCCATATCGCCTCAATATTGTATCTGAAATGTAAACAAAGGAATTTCTAAACAATTAATGGCTTTATCTTAATGGCTTTATCTTTAATCCGACATCGAAGTAATAAAAACAATGTCGGATTAAAAACAAATCCATTAATTCTTTATATGTCTTGGTGATACTTACTGAGAATACCCGTTCAACATGATCTCGAGCGGTGTTTTCATCAACCGTAGGCTCAGTAAAACGACCCATCATTTCATATATTGCTGACACTATATCCGTCATCTCATCTTTGGTTATTATACCATCTCCATTGATATCGTACAAGTTGAAGGCCCATTGAAGTCGTTCTTGTAGGCTTCCTCTGGACAGCACTGATAAACCCATCACAAACTCCTGAAAAGAAAAACAAGTTATTTTATATTTTTGGCGTTTTTGTTATAATCAGATTTAATTAGCCTTTTATAATGTCAGGTCTCAAAAGATGTCAGCTCGAATCCAATAAACATGATTTCTTTGAATAAGAAGTTGCGTAAAAAAAAAAGAATTAAAATTTGTGAAGGCATGATAAACATTGGTTCAACCTTAACACAGAATTGATTGCCTTTTATAGACGTAAAACACTTGGCAAATAATAGGATTAAATATTTCCGGCTTGAAATTAAGTACAATACAATCCGATTTCAAATCAGATAAGCATGTTGGATGTTTTCGCCTGTTGGATAGAGAAATATTCACAAATCTACTTAGCATAACCTTCTCCATAGAATTTAATATATATATATATATATATATATATATATATCAGGTAGGTTGATGCAAACCTTCCATAAAAAGAAACACCTGATACTTTTGATTAGACCCTCTGTGTGTGTGTGTGTATATATATATATATATATATATATATATATACACACATACATACACACACACACACACAGTCTGATCAAAAGTATCAGGACTGGTGCTATAAAAAAGATAACTACAATGCATATCAGTTTGGCATTTAATTACCTTTGAAGTAATCCCTCTTCTGAAGCCACACACTTTACCCACTGTCATTTCCATTGATGGAAGCATTCCTGTAACTTATTTTTTGGGATAGAGAGCAGTTGTCTTGTCAAATTCTCTTGGATTTGATTTTTGAAATAGAAAAATTCCCAAGGGGTGAGATATGGGGATTATAGCAGTTGTAGGATCTAGGGAATTTTGGCCTTTGCCAAAAACAATTTTGTTTACGTTTATATTTACATACATTCTATATTTAATATTGAGCACTTTAACCCATAAATATAGCATACCATAGAACTATATTTTATCAGTAAATACACACACATACTTATATATATATATAAGTATGTGTGTGTATTTACTGATTGGTAAAACAGATTAGCAATTTACACCAAGACTCACTTTGTAAAGGCATGACTCCTGTTTTCCCTGCATTACCAGTTATCTTGACCAAATATTATCACTGACATAATGGTATGTGCTGTTAGCAGGATGCTGCATAGGTGTAAATCCTCTATAAAAAGAAGCACCTCTTGACTGTGGGTAGTAACTAATGATTCCAGAAGCAAGAATCTTTGTGGCTAAGTACCCCATGTACACTGCAATATTCTACTTTAGCACTTACATGGGCTAGATGTGTTGCCAGAAAGGCCCAAGCCAATTAATTGGATTGTTATGCCAAATCCTACCACTTATATCTCAACATAGCAGGTCTTAATGTTTTTGCTATTCAAGTCAATAGATCAAGGAAAGAAATTCATTAATTATTTTTTTAAGGTTGTTCTCAAATGTTTGACTTCATCAATGCTGTTAGTATATATCATCAACATAGCAGGTGTAAATGGAGGTTCTAAAGGTGTTGCTATTCAAATCCAGATCCCTTTAAGATCACCAATGTACCTATGTCCATATATGTGCCGCTATGGGCGCATGGACGTGTGGTTAGAATGTTCGCTTTCTGACCATGAGACCTGGGTTCGAATCTCGCCACAGCTGATTTCTCAGGAAGGAGACTTCCTGATGTTACCAGTCTGGAGCCTGCAGCAACTTTGGAAAGTACCTGAAAACCATACCACAGGTTAACCCAAGCCTTGTGAGTGAAATTTTGGGGTTGCTAGCACAAAGTCACAAGTCATTGTAACCAAGGGTTTCAGTGTGCTGGCATTGTTCAAATTGTTGATCATGTTAGATAACACTCTCTCTCCCAGAAACTGTAACTAAGGTCTGCTCAGCATAGTTGCAGTATAAACCACATGTTGGTAATGTGGGTGTTCAACAAACACAAGTGTACCTGAGCGAGCGTCTGCAATAGGGATTGACTAGCCATCCTAGTAGACGGGTATCCTCAAATACAAGTGGCCAGGTATTATTATTATGTGTGCCACTAGGTGGTAACTGAAGGTCAATCAGCTTGAGAGTTTAAAAATTTCAACAAGGCTGTAAAAGACTTGACATTATGTTAAAACTTGTATAGAGTAGCTAACAATTTGCAGATGCTCCAAGTTTACATCAAACATGTGTATATATTTTTTGCATTTTCCTATCATATGTAGGTAAATGGGTTTCCCTCTTGTCTTTTCCTGGTATTGTGTTCTGTGTTGGGCAAGGAGCTTAAACAATAAAGGTCTTTGAAAAAAACTATAACCTATAATAAATCATTTCAAGGAATTATATACTGCGTTTGATTAATGGAGCTTAACAATCTCGCTTGGATTCCGAAGATTTTTTGGTGCTATAATTGATGTGGGATATTTCCTTATCAAGACTATTCATTATAGAAAAAGTTATGTCTTCCAGATTGACCCCACCCACTGCAAAAAAAAAAAAAATTAAGACTGGAAATCTCTTTGTTGAAGGGTAAAAAAGAAGCATGCTTTATTTAGAATGTTCTACAACATAAAAGCAAAAGACACCAAACCAAACACTAAATACAAGTAAGGACATTGTGAAAAACCTCAAACATACTGGATGAAATGAAAACTGGCCTCAAAAGTTGAGCTGTTACAGACCTTAAGCATAAAAAAGTGAAAACAGACATATACATATTCAACACCCACAAAATACAAAGAGTAATCAAAATAGATTACAAAAAAAAAAGTTAGACAAAATGGTTAAATACATTCCAAACCCATCCCACCCTTCTTCTGAAATGTTACAAATGCTAGAGATATGGACATCACACAGGTAAATGTAGAGGATGAGAAATGTGTAAGAGACATGAACAGAAAGATACCACTCACTGATTGAGAATGCAACAGAGTAATGGGCTGCCATGGAAACAATCTGGCATATGCATTAACATGCAATATCTAAGGAAGAAAAGGAAATATTTGCAGGTGAAATACATAAGAAATGTTTATACATTTCTGTTGTATTTCACCTCCAGACCAGAAATATGCAAATATTATTAATTACAACCAACACTAATAAACTGGATAAATGGAAGGCTGGATCATTGGAAGGCTACTAAAAAAATGACCAGAAGACAAGCCAACATTCACGTAAAAAAAAAAAAATAAAAATAAACACAGCCACTGCTAATTCCTCCAAAACCCAAATCATCAAAAATACGATCATTCCAAATAGTAAAAAACAAAATATTAACAAAGTGTGCTACCAACATCTTTTCAACAAAGACCTACACCTCTCACAATACCTCCAAATCACCTATCAATCCAAAGTTTCAGGGAGATCATGAAAATCTTCAATCTAATATGCCTCCTCTATTGAAAGATCTTTATGTCTTCTCCAAAAAATAAACTCCCCAAAGAACCAGGAATTAACTAACCAAAGATTCCAAAATAAAACCACTTCAAAGCAAAAACCACAACTAGAAGCTACAAACTTAAAAAATCATTTGAAAAAAACAGTTTCAATATATATGAAAAAAATCTTACAGAAAGAAGTAAAGAAAAGTGAGAAAAAAAGGATCCAACATTAATTGTAAGAAAATACAATATACGGTTATCAGCAAAAGGAACAGCTCAAATTACAAACTGGAGATACTAAAATCAAACAAGTACAAAAATTTAAATATCAAGGAAGTGTTTTAATAGAGGACAGAAAATAGGGCACTGGAATCTGAAGGTGCATTGGAATAGCAAAAGGTACCTTCCAAAGGCTAAGCAAAGTATTAAGAAACAGGAAATTTTCATTAAAAACAAAGAAAAGCATACTTAACTGTCTTGCAATACCATCATAAAATAACTTTCAACTGAAGTCCAGATTATAAGTTAAAAATCCTTTTTAACATCACCATAGTCTATTTCCTTCATTCAATACAAACTAAACTCATGTCAGCAAACAATGAAATGACAAACACTCAAAGGTCAAACTCAATGTAAATCGCACCTACACATGCTTTTTCCACAAACTTTGAACTGTTTATTTTCAATAAAAACAATATTACACTAAGCTGAATTTTTCCAAATTCAAACAAATTACCCTACAACTTGCAGTCTATCAAACTAGAACATTACCTCACACAAAAATCTAAAAAGACAAGTTTATTTCACCATTTTAAACAACATTCATAATTATTGTTTTGTACATTTGTTATATAAAAATCTATTTGTACAATTTCTCTTGTCTGAATTTTCTTGTTTCTTCTTGTTATTATTTTATGTCATTGTGTCTAAAGTAGTGATGGCAATTGACCTCCACAAATTCAGAATTTTCCTTCTTCTAGACTGGTTGATATCCAAGGTAAAAGTGCTACAGTATCTGCACTTTCAAAAAATATTTAAAATGTGCAAATTTAGAACCAAACAAATTCTACAAGATCAAGATTTTACATTGGGGTAGGAAAATTTGTGTTTACAGACAATCTTTCTACTTTAAATGTCTAGCCAGATTGCTTACCTTGACAATAAGCACTTAAAATCTTAGCTTTTACCTACATTTGAGTACCAACTGCTGAGTGTGGTTGGAGAGGAACATGTTAATATCTAATCATCGAAACCAGCTTAAAAAAAAATAAACATTAATCTCCACAACATAAGGAAAAATATTTTGAAAATGAAATAATAATTGGATGAGATTGCTAACTAAAAGGTAAATTGTATGCCTTTTCCAAAGACTAGAACTTGTTCTTGTGTGGTTCCTATAAACTAGATGACTACTTTCACATCACTAAATCTGCTCTAAGCTGATCTCACAGCAAAGGTCCCCTTCAATTCTGTGATAAAAGAAAACTGTAGCCCTCTAACTTAAAACAAACAAGTTTGTCTTACATGCCACACATCAAATTTAAAAAATATAAAAGCAATATTTTCTGTTTTAGTTTTTATTGTTGTTGACCTATATCCTCCCGGAATCAGTGTAAACTGACATTTTTTTATATATATATATTGTGACCAGTTTGCCTAAAATTTATATAATACAAT